TCATCACTACAAAAAGCATTCTCCTTTCCAGAGTTTCTTGCGGTTAGATCACCGAAAGTATCTCTGCCACCACACACCACTATTTTGTGGTGAAACACCACAAGACTTTTACTACGCGTATCATTTGCGTATTTTTGTTATTAGAGGGATCTTGTGTTGACTTATTCCTACTAATAAACAAGTTTTAAAATATTTCATTGATAGTTGATAATAATTTTTTTTGTAAACGCACTTAAAACGGTGAAATAGTTATAAATTACAAAAGAAAATAATTCTATTGCGTAATAACCGTTACCAAGGTGTTACTCGGTTCATAAAACTTCTTCGCCTGTCAACTGCCAGGCGAAGAATTACAAGCTAACGAAAGAACTTCGTAGTATTGACTGCTAAATCATCCTACTGTTACACCGTTTGTGCTACAGAAAAAAAAGAGGTAACTTTGAAAACGGCCAGTATATGCAAACAACGCGTACACATTCGTCGGGTTCGAAAATCGAACACTTGCTTGGCAATTTGGGGTGAGCGTTTTTGAAAGTAGTGCCACTGTGACGCATCGACCAATCAACGACAAGCATAAGATCGCGTGGTGGCAGAGATATATTTGTGATCGAACTCTGCCTGGAAGATTGGTCAATCACCTCACTACGCACGGCCATTTTCCTGTGGTTGTTACATCTGAAAACGTACTACAAATTGTGGAAAACAAAAATTGAATGGCTTGAACGGGTTCGATTTTCCGCGTCAACAGTCATAGAACACAAAGGTTCTCGTAAGTTATTACAGTGTGTCTTTTATTGTACAATTTAATGCTTCGGCATCTAGGAAAGGGTTGTACTTTTCTAACGCACGTCATGTATATTTTAATTTAATGAAATGAACATTTCGGAGTCAGGGGGTGAAACGTCCTATTAAAATGATTAATAAAGTAGAAGCCTACTCACCATTTCCGTCGATTGCGCATGTTTCTGCGCAATTGAAAGGCGTAAAATGGCAGCGTTTACGACATAGTAAATAAGTATGCTAAACAAACAACATGGACCTTCTTTTTTTTTAATTATACATTAATGTAGTTGTTATGGGTATAGAATATTATTTTTTTGACAAATTATAAATATCGATGCATGTGCATGAACTTTTACGTTAGCCACTAACGTAAAACGGGTAAGCGTTGCTATGTAAACCCAGCTGTGCTCGCGTTTTTTTTTAAAGCGAACGAGTCATACTTTGCTGTGCGTTTGTTTTGAAGCGATTTCCTAGATATTCATTCCAGGTAAGTTAAGTTTATAAACACTCAATTTCAAATTGCCGAATGAAAAATGCAAAATATTGTCACTAAGTGTCTGAAATGCGTGTATGATCATCGAGACCGTGTTGACCGTGTCAAGTGAAATACGGGTATTGTTTCAAGTTGACATCTGTTCGTTTATAACACTGCAACATTTAGATGTACGTGTGCTGCATGGGTTTGAAATAGTTATAATACATGTGTACATTTATAGAATTATTTGTTCCATCTGGTTCAGGTATGAGTAAGCGAGGCCGGTGTAGTAATGGAAAGTTTGTTTCCAAGTCCGACGAAAAACGCAGGAATGGTAACGGTCGGAGGTTATCTACAAACTCTGAATCACGGTCACTAACCAATAAGTTGTGGCAATTCCCTAGACACCATCCTTCCATGTATTACGATGGCCCAAGCTAAATTTTCATAAATTAACAAACCTCTTGAAATCACAGGTTGCTTGTCCAGACCAGATATTACTTTATGTATAGTTATGCCACCTCCCTTTTCTATATATGTACAACACCACCCGACTTCATTGTTAACCAGTTCAGTCATTTTGTGCTTGATGACATCACAATCAAATGAGATGACATTGGTGTCCATTTCCGTCAAACTACAGATATGTTGAGTCGAATCAGTTGTCACCTGTGGGCAAATTTTTTGTACATGTTTTCCGCAATCTTTACTATGGTCCTGTTGTGAGAAAAAAAAGTTAAATTATTAAA